AATGCCTACCCAACCCTCCCCAGGAGGATGAGAGGAGACTCGCAGGGGTGAGAAATCCATGAATTCTTTGTGGGCAAGGCATGGTCCTTGCTTCTCTCCTTTTGTGTTCTTCACCAGCTTCCTTGAAGTTTTCTGATTTTCGCTGGCAACACCGGACCCACACGAAGTGCCCCATAGACTCGTGGCATGGGTGGGAGTGGGCTCCTCTCCCAGGTCTTCTTCACAGGGAGATGCTGAGAGATCCTTCTTCCCACAGGCCCGTGAAGAATTCAAAAAGAGGGTTAGTGGGAATGAGTCCTTTTAGATAAGCTTTCTTTCTCTCCTTTTCCCCACACTGCTCTTAGCCAACTGCCCTTGGAAAGGTTCTGGTAAACATCCGTCTCCAGAGTGTTTGTGTTTTCAGTGGGAACAATGCCTTAACCCAGTTGTTCTCGACTTTGCCCCGTGAGGACATTTGCCAAACTCTGAAGACGTTTTTGATTGCAGTGACTTAGGAGGTACTACTTGTACGTAGCAAATGGAGGCCACAGATGCTGCTAAACCTACAATGCACAGGACGGAATTATCCTACCCTTTAGTAACAAAGAATTATCTCGCTGAAAGTGTCGAGACTGCCAAGGTTGATAAACCCTGTGTTAACCCAAAGCGATAAACTCCAAATGGTGAACTTCCAAGTATCCTGCCAGGTGACTAGACTAAGAGTGGGAGGGAAGGGTTTTCTGGTCTGTCATTTAGATAAAAGAGAAATCCCTACGACATAAGTACAGATTAAGAAAACTGCTGTTTTCCACAGCCGGCAGCCCAGTGTGGAACAGTGAACTAGCTCTAAGTTGTAAGAATAAAAAGTCCCATTTAATTGAGTAACTCATTGTTACCTTAGAAAGGATAGAGGGTGAAAAGAAATAGTGAAGGAGATTTAGATAAATTAGTAGACCACAAATAAATGGGTTATTGGACAAAGTTAGGATGTTTGCTGTTTGGGGGATGCTTTCCCAAGGTACATCCCTCTCTGTCAAAGATAAACCTTGGGTCTTACCCAAGATCCTAATTCTGCTGCCTTCTGCAGAATGAGCCAACAGTGACCACTAGACACTGAGGTCACCAAGATGGCCCCTGCCCTCACATATGTAAACACACATACACATCAGGATAATCATAGTAAAAAAAAATAATAATAATAGTAAACAACAGTAAGTGCTGAGATGGGCTCTTCCTGGGAGTGTAGAGGAGGAAGCGGCTAATTCTGTCATCTCCTGTCCCCAGAGAGCAAGAGGCAGGAAGACCCTTCCCACTTGTAACCCTCACCCCACTGCAGACCCTCTGGCTTCACTTCTCCACCTGCAGGCTTGCACGAGCGGACGGCTGGTATTGGGAGGAGGAAGCAGCCCTGGCTTGGCAGGAGGGCTGGGGCTCTGGGGGGTGGCTGGGGGAGCCCTGGGAAGGGGGAGTCCTTCCAAGACAAATTCCGCAAGGCCTCTGACCTCCCACAGAACAAAACTGCACTTCTCTGAAGTCTGGGAAGGAGCCCTGAGCTTGGAAAGGCTCGGTTCTCAGTCTGCCCACCGCTACCTCCTGGGGCACTGTGGACACTTTACTCTCCAGGCCTCAGTTTCCTCGTGTGTTAGGCAAGGGGCTAGATGCAGTGTCAACTGGAAAAAGGTTTTTGTGCCCCTCTGGGCTGCCTTACCCACCCCCACCTGCCCTTTCTTTTCACAGGTGAGAGCACTGGGGTCAAGAGAGGTAAAGTGCCTTTTCCAAAGTCACGTAGTTTAAAAGCAAAATTGGAAGTCTTGGAAAAATACCTATAACATGGTCCCACTTATGAAAAAAATATATTTTGTTTTTTAAAAATACACGTAAGTCTATAAAGGCATATGAAAAGATATAGACAGATATACAAATTACAGTGGCTGCCCTTGGGCAGAGGGGAGGGAAAGGAACAGGACAGAGGGGAGCCGTTACTGTTCTACGTGCTTGTGTATTGCTGGAAATTCATATTGCAACAAAAATGTGTTTGTGTATTATTTCTACACTTTAAAAGATAATGTGTAAAAAGGAGCTCTGACAAAAGTGCACGTCTCGGATTTCTATTTTTCTCACCGCGGCAAGCTTGCTCTGCCCCGTTCCGGGTCTAAAATGCTGCGGTCGCCAAGTGTGCACTGCCACTCCTGTGCCCCAGGAGGACACATCAGGGTCACCCCACTCTCTGGCTCAGCGCAGACCAGGCCTTGCAATTCTTCTGACAGAGCCCTTGAGATGAAAACCATTTGCTGTGCCACCTTGAGCCAGTGCTTGTACTTCAGGCACCGGCCAACAAGTAGAAAAGTCAGGGAGCTGCTGCTCAGACCCTCTGCGATCAAACAGGCAGGGAGCTGAGTGCCCCGTCTGTAGGGAGGACCGTCCCTAGTTCAAGGACCTGGCTCAAGGGAGCCTGGAGTTTCTAAGGGTGCCTGGGGCCTGGGGGGAGGTGGGGACAGTAGAGAGCTTTTCGCAGAGCAAGGGGATATCACAGCACCCAGAGAGCTGACAACCCACGGACTGCGTGTGGGGGTGAGCAAACCCTTCCGGGCCTTCAAATCCAGGTGCAGCAAAGCCCCGATTCCCCACGAGTCTGTGGCTCCTCTGTCTCAGGAGGTAAATGGCCAAAGTGCTAAGTAGACAACCCCAGACAAGGAGGAGAATCCTGAATTCTATTTATAACTCTGCTGCTATTTTGTAACCTCGGAAAACGGCATATCCCTGTGGCTAGTCAGTTAGTCTCTTCATCAGAAAAATGAAGAAAAAACCAGCCTTTCCCTTCCTAGGGGAGGTATCGTGAGCAAGTGCCTAGTGAGCGACGGGACCTGGGTTGGAATCCTGGTTGACACAGCTCTCACTTTAAGGAGCCACAAGAGAGGAAGCCACAGACCAGGTTGTACTCTGAGCCTGGGGACGCCTCCTCTTCCCTCTTCTTTGCCTGGCGAATTCTTTGTTCTTCAGGATCCAGCTGAGATGATACCTTCTCTGGGAAGTCTTCCTGGGTCTCCTACCCCCACCTCCAGGGTCCCTGAGCACCTGGCTCTTATCTCTGCCACCAGAATCCCTTGTGAGCCCATCCCCTTCCACCAGTCTACATCAGGGCTGGGCCTGGGCCGGGGTCTGCAAGCCTGGTACTGGGGGGAGGGGAGCGGAGGTAGGACAAGCCAGTGGCCACATTCCTGCGCACTGGCCTGCCTCCTGTGGGGCCCACAGCTAGCAGCAGACGTCCCCGGGTGTGCAGGGCCTGGGCTGTGTGGGTGGATCTCCCGTGTCTCCTTCAGCCCTCTTTGTGGCCTGATTCTCTGACCTGCCCTCTCTACTTGCTCACCACTTGGCATTTCGCTCTTGATCCTTTCGCTGGATTAAGTTCGGACAGAGATTTTGGAGAAAAACAGCCCCTACCAATGAGCTTACCCTTCCTTGCAGGGCCCGAGTAGACTTGTAGCTGAGTAGCTCTTCCTCCCAGACCCCCAGCGCTGGCCCCATCCCTCCCTGCCCCTTGGTGCCCGCTCTCCCTGGGCTCCGCGGCTGTGCCCACAGTGCCCTGCCTGGCTCTCACGCTGTGCTGCCTCTAGGAGCCCACATTCCTGCAACCCCGTGACCACAACAGAGGACATTACACATTCCTGGCCTGGCAGCCAATGGTGTGAAAAAGAACAGAATGTCCCAGGTCCCCGCCCAGCCCGGCTTCACCTGGGCCCGTCCCAGGCCTGGACAAGGTTGGGGGGATGGTGAGGAACCAGGAGGAAAGAGGATGGACCAGGAGGAAGAGGCAGATGCTCCCCACCTGAGTGCTCCCACCTCAGTGAGCAGGGAGGGGCCCTGCAGAGACCCCTTCTCCTTTCTCTCCAGGACCTGGGGGTGAGGTTGACCTGTGGGTGCCCTGGAGGGATTCCCACAGGAGGGGACCCTGCTCCTGGAGTGCTCCTTTCTGGAGGGGGACTCCCTTTGGGGGAGGCTCCCTCCTTTTCGTCCTCCCCTTTCTGCCTCTGCTCCCAAGGGCCCCTCCTCTGTCACACCTGTCCATCACTCTGTCCTCCTCCGCTGGCTTCATTTTTCTGCCTTCCTTGCCCTCCCAGCTTCCCCATCCTGTCATCCTGTCTTGTCCTTTTTCCTTGTTTTGCCCTCCTGGCTTTGGGTTCAGGATCCTTCTACTCGTTCGCATCTCTGAGCCTCCCCTGCCGTTGTGTCTCGCAGCCTCTTGGCCTGCCAGCGCCGCAGCCATCCCCTGCCCACAGTCTCCTCCAGGCCCCCTGCCTTCCCCGTCCCAGTACTCCCGGTTCTCCCGCCCTCAGGAGCCTCCTCCCTTGGGAGAAGTCCCGGCTCTGACTCCTCCTCTGCCCCTCCCCCTGCCCTGCTCACCTTTAATTGAGATGCTAATGAGCCTCCTGTCGCTTCCATCCCTGTCGAGCGGGCGGGCTCCTTGGCCAGGCCGCTGCACCTGTCAGGTGAGGGGGAGGAGAGGCTTAGCTGCCAGATTCAACTGGAAAGGAACCGGTCCCAGTCCAGCCACATCCTGGGAGTGGGGAGCAGGAGGCGGCCGGACCTCCTGGAGCCCTGAGGTCCCTGGGGCCAGGGCTGGAGGCTGGAGGAGAGGGCCCAGGGTGGCAGGGGAAAGGCAGGGGAGGAAGAGGAAGAGAGGCAGGATCAGAGAGTCTGGCACAGGGGGAGGAGGCAGGCAAGGAAGAGGAGAGCTGAGAAAGAGACCCAGGGAGAAGGAGGAGGCAGACAGAGAGAGGGAGTCTGGGGCAGGAGCTGAGACCAGAGGAAGAGACTGACTGCCCTGGAGACAGAAAGGGAGGTGCCAGGACGGAAACCAAGAGGTGGCCTTATCAGGGAAGCAGAGAAGAGGCCACTCCAGGGAAGCCTGGCTCCCGGGCTTCAGCAGGTCAGCTGGCTCCTGGGAAGGTGGAGGGGGAGAGTGGGCACAGGGCGAGGATGTGGGCATGGCTGGGGCAGCTGCACCCAGGTTCAAAGTGGTGATGGGGGAGGGTGCTCAGGGCCCAGAATTCAGCCTTGACCCTGACCCTTGCCCTCCCCGACCCACCCAAGGGCTCATGAAGGGGGACAAGCTAGAGGAGCAAGACCCCTGCCCCCGCCAGCCCATCCAAGGGCTCATGAAGGGGGACAAGCTCGAGGTGGAAGGACCGGGTCCCGAACCCACGGCCCCCCAGCAGCCCACGGAGGAGGAGGAGGCCCTGATCGAGTTCCACCGCTCCTACCGAGAGCTCTTCCAGTTCTTCTGCAACAACACCACCATCCATGGTGCCATCCGCCTGGTGTGCTCCCAGCACAACCGCATGAAGACGGCCTTCTGGGCGGTGCTGTGGCTCTGCACCTTCGGCATGATGTACTGGCAGTTCGGCCTGCTTTTCGGCGAGTACTTCAGCTACCCCGTCAGCCTCAACATCAACCTCAACTCGGACAAGCTCGTCTTCCCCGCCGTTACCGTCTGCACCCTCAACCCCTACAGGTCAGTCTGTCCCTCCGCTACTTCCCTGGCTCCTGGAAGGGTGCCATGAGGGTCCCCAGGTGCTCACTGGGCAGGTGGACCCCCAGACCCAGGGCTGGGATCTGATAATCCTTTCCCCAGGTAGACCTCCCTCCCTTCGGGCAAGACAGAGTCCCAGGCTTGGTTCGCAGATGTCTCTGTCCAGTGGAGCCATCCTGGAGTGTGGGTGTTGGGCCAGCAGTGACCTCTCCTCCTCTCCCCTCCCCTTCCCTTATCCCTCCTGCAAGTGGGAGGGAGTAGTTCCAAAAGGGCGGGGTTGAGCTCAGCCCCATCCCTTCCCTGGAGCAAGATGACAGCAAAGAACAAGGCCTCCTCCACCTGAGTCTGTTGGGAGGGGAGGCCACCCAGGTGCTGTAGAGGTGGGTGGTGTCAGCTTTTGTTTACAAGGGGAGTTGGCATGGAGGTTAGGGCTGCAAAGCCAGGAGAATGGGTCAGGCTGGAGAGCAGCCCCTGGTCAAGCTGTTCCCTAAAAGACCCGGACTAAAATGTGGAGGTGTCCCTGCCCAGGCACCTGGCCTTTAAGTGCTTGGGTGTGTCCTGAAGTTTGGGTTTCATCAGCACTCTTTGCCAGTTTGGGGCCTGGACGCCAGTGGGGGCAGTAACCATGAAGGAGGGGGTGGGCAGGGCTGAGTGTTCCTAGACACCTTTCGTTTGTGTTCACTCAGCCGTGCCACACCTTGGGGACACCTGCTTCAAGCCAGACCGCAGTGCTAGGCACCTGACAAAATGGATTGTTAGTAATTCATACAACCTTTGTTGAAGGCCAGGTACTTTGCTACGTGTTGGGGGCAGAAAGATAAAATGAGGTGGCAGAGATAGGCACATGCACAAGTAACCGCAGCACGCTGTGATATAACGAAAGCGGCGTGAGTTAGTGTGCCTTCAGGGAGTACGAGATCTTTCTGAGCGAGTGAGTGTGAGCACACGCATTGGGTGTGTGTGGGATCATGGATGTCTGGCAGTGGTCACGTGTTGGGGTGGAGGCCCCTTCGTATATTCCATCACGTCTGAAAGTGTGTCATGAACTATAATAATGAGGGCTGGCACATCCTGTCCTGGAGAGAAAAAAAATGCTGGGCCATTTTGTCGACTAACCGCCATGTAATGTACAGGGTAGGGGACGTTTACGAAGGAAGCTGCTTTGTGCACCAGGCACTGCTAAGCTGTCTGCAGGCATCTCGTTTCATTCACACGAAATCCTGCGGGGCAGGTACTATTACTATTATCATCCCTATTTCCACTTGAGGAAACTAAGGCAAAGAGAGAAAAGTCACAAGGTCACAGAGATAGTGACTGAGCTGTGACTCATCCTTTTTGCCTGATCCCAAAACTCAGCCTCTTCTTAATACCCAAGATGTAGGACGTGGAATACGTGGAATTTCCAATCAGATGTTCGCATGTCATTTCAGAGCTCTTTGATTTCTCCCTTCAGCCTCATTTTTCTTCCTCTGGTACCTGCAGGCTCCCCAGCCCCTCGTCTTGGAGGGGAAGGACTGGCAGGGCTGGGAGGGCAGGCAGGGGCCGGGACCACAGGCAGGGGCCGGGACCACAGGCAGGGTGTAGGCACTCAGTGAATGTGGTAGAACGATGTGGGTGAGGGATGGAGAGGGCAGGGGTGAATCTGGGGAGGCTGCATATTTTCTGAGGCTCTGCTGGGTGCAGGGCTCTGCACGATCCAAGAAGCAGCCCCAGGGAGCAGAACCCACGGCCCCTGCCTCCAGGGGCCTGCAGGTTGGGAGGCAGGGCTGGAACACCTGGGACAGGAGGTGAGTGAAGCAGGCTCCCTGGCACAGGCAAGGGGACTGCACACTTGCCGAGCCATGTGCTTGACCCTGTGCTGAGTGCAGACACTCTCATTTAATCCCGACAAGCTCAGAAAGTGGACATTACTATTCATATTTTTCAGATGAGGAAATTAAGGCTCAGCAAGGTGAAATAATTTAAGCAAGGGAATACATTTATTTATTAAATAAAAAACTAACAAGAATAATAGCAAACATTTGTATATATTTATGTGCCAGACATTTCTACAAATGAATCTAAATTTAAATTAAATTATTCCGTTATTAAATGATTCCTCCCATTTTATGGATGAGGAAAGTGAGGCCCAGAGAGTTAAGTAACTGACCCAAGTTCAGACAGGTGGCAAGTGGTGAAACTGGGATTCAAAATTGCCCCTTCCCAACTAAGAGCCAGTGCATCTCAGGTTAGCAGCTGAGCCACAAACCAAGTGTGATTTCCAAGCTTTCTCCCACGGCATTGTAAGTAGGGACCAGGCAAAGGCATCCCAGGTTTGGGGGCAGCTGCCGGGAGCCCAGCGGGAAGAGCTGTAGTCAGGAGGACTATTTGTCAGGAGCGCAGAGGAAGGGTCCGGTGCTGTCGGCTTCTGTCCGGGAGAGAGGCCAGGGCGGGTGGACAGGTTAATGCAGCCCAGTGGGTGCTGACCTGCCTGTGAATCACGGCTGCTGGGCAGAGGCAGCGGGATGACTGACACCTTCCAGGGAAGCAGGGAGGACGGAGAAGCAGGGAGGACGGGGAAATGGGTTGATGAGACAGAGGAACAGGAATGAGGCAGAGTCGGACAAGGGGTGCCCGCCTGCTGAGGGATGTAGCCAGCAGGGGGAGAGGAGGAGGATGGACTATGTAGTAACTTCAGGAAAGGAGACAAGAGCCAAAGACCTTTCGGACTAAATAAGGAAGTGGTAAGAATTCAAGGGGAAGGGTGGGCCACTGCAGTCGCTTTCTCTCTAGACAACAAAGGGCTTTTTCAAGCAAAGGAGTCCTACCCACGGCCGTGGAAGACAGAGCCCACAGACAGATTTTTTTGTCCAGTCTCAGGAAGGACCTTAGGCTGAACCTAAGAACTTGGGGTTCTTGGACAATGAAGGAGGTCATGGAATCTTCTTCCCTGGAGATGACAGAGCAGGAGGCCTGGCAGCAGGAATGCGTGAGGGCCGATTTCCTAGAATTTCCCTCTCCCGCGGGCAGCGTCCCCACCATTGCTCCCTGACCGTGTGGGCAGACCCCGAACTCCGGCACCATCCGGACCCCAGGCTTCGCTCGGCAGGCCTGGCAGGAATAGAGGGCCCAGACCCAGGCTCTTGCAGTGACTCCCCTGACCCTGCCGCAGCGACTGGACCCTTCTCACATTGGGACCCTTGCTGTCTCTGTGGCAGCAGCTGTTAGAAAGCCCTTCCTTGGGTAGAGCTGCAGTTTACCTCGTGATAACTTCTGTCCTCTGGTCGTGGTTCTGTCTCCTTGAAGCAGCCCTGAAGATGTCTCCTCCTTCCTCCCACAGCTGTCGATTCGGGCGCAGCTACGATAGCAGTAACCGCACGGCAGTTTGCAAAGCCCACTATCACATTTTGATCCTTATGACATACTTGTCAGATAAGGAGGTCAGGTATGAGCCCCATAGTCAGATGAGAAAACTGAGGCTCTGAGAACTTTAAGGCTTTGCAAAGCTCACCCCGCTGTTAAGTGGAGGAGTCAGAATCGGAATCTGGGTCTTTAGCTCCGCTCGTGTTCAGACCGTGAGGTCACACGGTAGTTAAGGGGCAGGCAGTGCTCCTGTGTCTCCTTGGCTTCTTCTTCTCCTCCAATAATAGTCATAATGACAGTAATGATAACACGAACAACAGCAGCAGTTATACAGTACCTACTCTGCCAGGTACTTCCGTTCTTTTCATACAATAACTCACTTAATCCTCTGAACAACCCTGTGAAGCAGTTACTATTACTACTCCCACTTTGCAGATGATGAAACAGGCACAGAGGAGATAAGTCACTTGCCCAAAGGTAACCAGCTAATGAGTGGTTGGGATACAAGCCTGGAAGGCTGATTGGAACTTAGTTCCTTTAACTTTTCCTTGAACGAATTGGTTTCTAGACCATCCCCCTGGCTGCCCATCCTCTGAATAATCATTGTTTTGTGAGCATCTATTGCTCTTAAAATGTCACAGCCAGGACTGAATTCCACCTTGTGGAATAGGGTGATCTCTGTTACCTGATCTCTGTCCTCAGGGGGCTCACAGGTGAGGGGCACCTGCCCCCTGGGAGACAAGGCTGCAGATGCTGAGAGGAGAGGAATGGAGCTAGCGAAGGGGCCAGAGGAAGGGAAGTCAAGGCTTCTAGGCAGTCCCTGGAGGAGGGAGGGAGTGGGGCTCGGTCCCCAGGGGCACCCTGGCAGGGGAGGAAGCTCTGCCTGGTGCCCTGGGAATGCTGGCTGAGAATGCTCCAGTAGGGGCCTCCAGGTGGGAGGGATGGGGGCCTACGCAAGTCCCAAGGCTGTCAGGGCAAGCATGGGCTGTTCTGTGAGAGGAGGCTCCCGTGGGGTAAGAGGAAGGGAGGAGAAGGAGGAAGCCAGATGGCAAGAGAGCAGGGGTGTCAGCCCCTAGGCAGACGTAGTGGGAAAAGCAGGCGCTGCGGAGTCAGACAGGCCTGGGTTCAAATCTTGGCTCCAGTACTTCCTAACTGAGTGACCTTGGGGAAGTTGCCTAGTTGATGGGCCTCAGTTTCCTCAACTGTAAAATGGAGAAGGTAATGCCTGCCTCGTGGAATTGTGCAAAGTTCGCCCACCCTCCCATGTGGGGCTGCCTGCCAGAGCAGATGGCGAGAGGGCTGTGAGTGTGACTTGGGTAGAGGTGGAGGCTAGAAGGGCTGGCCTGTCTTGTGGGAGCCCCTCTGGGCATTGCTTGTCCCCTCCTTCCAGCCCTGGCTTCTCAAGATGAGACTGGATGTCTTATGTGTGCTTTCTCTTTAGTGGTCAATTCTCTCCGTTCTCCGTGTCAACTCAAAGGTTCCTCTTGCTACAGGAATTTCTGGTATCAGGGAGTCGGGGAGCAAGAGATTTCTTTCCTGAGAGGGTGACACAGGAGTCCTTCTTCCTGCCTCCAACCAAAAAAGAAAAAAAAAGGACAGAAGTGACCTTGGGGCGTGAGGGAGTTCTGTATAGAGCCCCA